TGCTGAAATGCCGTGGCAGCAGCGCGGCCTGCGTACGGGCTCTGTGTGCTGAAGGCGGACACCACAGACCGATACTTCATTACTCCTGCCCTCTCTCGACAGGCAGTCTGCTATTTCCTCTCCGGCTCGGAAGCGCGAGGGTTTCCTGTGCAAATCGCTCACTAGGAGCTGTCGACACTGCAGGTGAGAGCTCCACCCCAGACCGCCACACCAGCCTTAGGGGGAGAGACACTGGGAGCCAGGACCTGCAGAGCCACGCACCCAGGGCCCCATCACACACAGGCCCCCCGTTACACACACACACACATCACACACCACACCCAGGCCCCCCGTCACACACACAGACACCCATCACACCCAGGCCCCCCATCACACACACAGACACCCATCACACCCAGGCCCCCCATCACACACACAGACACACAGGCCCCCGTCTCACACATCCCCATCACACACAGGCCCCCCCGTCACACACCCATGTCCATGTATACACACATTGACACCTCCAGTGCAGGGTTACACATGCATGGAGACCTCAATGGACACAAATCATGTAAAATCAGAAAAGATTAACGTCGCAATACTGATACTAACTCCAATGCACGCAGAGCCACATTCCATATGAGTCTGACTTGCAGTTTCTTACTGCATTTATAGGATTCTTCGTATTTACTTGATATATTATTGTATAATTTCTTAGTAGTCCTGGGTAATACAATTTTAATACCAGCACAAACAGCAAGTTTAGCTTCACTTTTGTTCCCCGAAGAGAAGAGAAGAGAGAAAATCACCTACGCAAACACATATACCAGAGGGAACAAGTGGAAACTCTGTGGAAGAGCATTTAAATCCGACAACAGGAGGCAAGCACATCTTTACGCAAAGGGGTGTGGGAGTATGGAACAAGCTACCCAGCCATGTTGTTGAAGCAGATAGCCTGGTTTCTTTCAAGAAACATCAGGATGAGATCAGATCCATTTTCCTTGGATGTAACAGGCTGGACCAGGGCCAAGTGGCCCCTCTTGTCCGTGTTTTCCTATATTCCAATCACATCTCGGCTGCTCAGCCGTCCTCAACCCTGAAGCAGAATCCCAATGTCTTTGGCACTCCGCGGCGCCGCCAAGATGAAACTCTGTACATCGCAGCAGTTGCAAATCTTTTGAAGATACTGATTTTTTTTTTAAAAACCAAAGGCTTTTTTCCAAAAAAAAAAGCTCGAGTAAACTGCTTTGGACTGAGAGCAGACCACGCCTGGGGGGGAACACCAGCAGTTCGGTCTCATCGCTCCTCGGGGGGGTAGAAGCCAGAAGCAGTCGAGGGGTCCGTGCGAGAAAGCGGGGGGATATGAAAACCAGACAAAAGGAGAAAAAAGGCAAAGCCAGGTAGACCCATGAACGAAGACGGGAGCACCGCTGACCACCCACAGGCTCCGGCGAGAGAGGGGAGAGGCCGCGGACGAGAAGGAAAAAATAACAGAGAGAGAGAGAGAGATAGCCTTGAGCGAGAAGCTCAAATAAACACAAATCTCATTTCGAAACGCCCCCCCGCCCCCCCTCCGTCCCCGCAGACTGCTCGGGCTTGTTTTCAAACAAAACACACCGAGGGACGCCTCCCCCCGGTTTCAGATCATCTGGCAGGCCTCCCCCCCCCCCGGCCAGACACCCCACACGCCCCAGACGGGCACCCACACCGGCTCGCTCCCGCATCTCGCCACCGACGGCTCGCACGGCCCGGGCAGAGGACAGCAGCCCGCGGCGTCTGGGGCGCGATTCCAGCGATGGGGGACCCCCCCCAGCCCTTTCAACAGGCCCACAGGTCCACAGGGGGGCCTCTCCTTTAATTGCAGTATCAATCTGAAATGAGCTTTGCGGCTCCTCTGTGGGGTGACCCCAAGCCCTCCCAACCCCACTGGCTCCACCCCGGGGGGAGATCCGAGAGAGGGAGGTGTGAAACAGGAACAGCAGCTGGAGACGTTCTCTGCAGGGCTGTATCAGCTGCCAACGCACAGCCAATGATGCAATGACCCCCAGGAGACCAGCCACCTCCTGCCCTTAATTACACGGGGTCAGAGGGCACCCGACGACCTCCGCCAGGGATCGCTCTATTTATATTTACATACCTCCCGCGGAATAAATGTCGCATAAAAATAAAAGTCAATCTGGGGATGAGCCTGGTGCTTCATTAAAGCCTCCTCCCTTGGGAGTGTTCAGCCAAACCCCTGTGTGCCCACCGCCTCCTCCTCCCCTCCCCTCCTGCAGGTCCCTCTTTACCCCAAGACCATCTCAGTCTCCTTCTCTCTTCTGTCTCCCCCTCTCCCCCTCCATCAGGTCCCCTGCACAGAGCGGCGCCCCCTGCAGGAGGGGTTAGGAGCAGCCTCGCCCCCTGCGCAGACGCAGTCGCTCCGACACGTCATCTGCTCCCCTCATCAGCCCTTCCCACCCCACCGTCTCTGTGATTGCTGATTGCGTCCACCACAAGCAGTCATCCCTACTCGTCTTTCTCCCCTATCTCATCTCCTCCACTAACTCGCCATGCTGAAACGTTTTACTGGCATGACCTAAGAATCAGCGTTGGCAAACCAAAACTTTCCATTCAGGACAAAGACATTAATACCAGAGAGGCTCACTGCTCCCCTGTGGGCTGTAAGAGACCACCGCTATTGAGTTTCCTCCCCCAGCAGGACCCCAGTGCTGGAATTCCAAGCTTTGACTCAAGTTTGCGAAGAAGGCTGGTCTGATCCCCGAGTATTTCTCACAGTGCGCCAGAGAGTGCATCTGTGTCTAGTGTGTGCCTCGCCGTGCTGGCAGTGGGAGCACAGCCTGCCCTCTCTGGGCAGCCAGGTCCATGGTTTGAGTCGGAACTTGGTCTCGCTCTGGTCCTCCTTGTTCTCCGTCACCCTGGTCAGCTACTCGGCCAGTGTGCGGTGTCGTTTTGTGGCCCAGTAACATTCCAGTTTGTGCTGCAATGGTGGGTCCCCGTGGGTGAGGTGGTGTTGATTGGCTGATTGGCTTGTGCTGTGACTGGTGGTGTTGTAGCCGTGCTGTCCTGAGGCTGGTTAGTGTCAGAGAGCTTCAGGACCAGCTGGCTGAGGGGGCTCAGCAGAGCCCTGTGTGTGGTAGGCGTACTGGTTACTGCTCTTTTTAGATGTAATCGATATTTTATTGCTGTCTCCTGTATATTGATTAGCAGTGGGTGTTGCCTAATTCAGCCCTGCCTGCATGGTTTGGTATTTTTCTCTGCACGTAAAGGTTGTTTTCACAGAACTGTGTGTGTAGGG